CAAAAACAATTAAACAATTAAAGTTCCTAGTACTTTTTTAACGTATGGTACTGCGTAAAACATTTTCCTCTATGAAGAGGGACCAAACAAAATTAAGTATCTAGATTCGCTCCTTTTTCCATGGGCGTGAAAAACGAGAACACTTGTGAGTGGTCCTTAACAGATGGCGCGAGAAACACGAGAAAACTCCTGAACGGTACGAAATGTGTTAAAGGGTCACAGCTTAGGAAGGTTGAGAACCACTGATGTAGTTGGTTAGAATAGGTGCTAACGTGGCCAGATCCTCCCTTTCGCCCTAGCTCAGCAAGTAGCTCAACATAGGGTCTAGGCTGGATCACTCCAGTGATCTACTGCAGGACTTAGAGCCTGAGGAAATAATCTATCTATATAAAAGGCTAATATGCTAAGTGTCCGTCCGGGTAATGACGTCATGTAGCAACGCCCAGCTTCCTCTCCCTACTGACTAGCCTGTTCACAGTTTCTTCAGCCCAGGAACACGACTTGCTTTATATCCAGATGCAAACATTTTACACTTTAACCAAGCGTTTTCCCGTGCCTCATCTCATGTGATCCTCACAGAAGTCCTGAAGTAGGTAGATAGGAGACTTGGTGGAATCCTATTTTCTTTTCATTAGCCGGAAAATGGAGATTTAGAAAGCTTAGAAACTTGACCTGACTGAAAAGAAGTTAGAAATGGTGGAACTTGAAAATGACTTCAGGTTTTCTCACTGCACAGAATATAGTCAAACACGGCTGCAGTTAAATATTTTACCCTTTGTTCTCCCTACGTGATCTACAATAATAATCTGCTTTGTGTTGATATTTACTGCTGTGTTGCTGGCAATTACCCGAAAGAGAAGTTGGGGTGCTTCACTGGGCTGGAAAAAGTTTAGCTACATCAGAAAGCAGGTCTAATTAAGCAAGTTTGTTCTATATCTATAAAAGGCTAAGTTGACTCGGGCATGCGCAATACATATAAAGCTCTTGCTGGTGCCAATCGCACACATGTTTCCATCTGTCATTGTCAATTGTGAATTTGGCTGACTCTCTATTATAGAGAAAGGGTGAAAAGCGATATTAAAATATTACTTCTAATTGGTTTCCTTTCAATGTGCACGAATTTGTGCACTGAGCAACTAGTACAAAAATAGAAGGAAGCCCTAGCCAGTTAGGCTCAGTGGATAGAGCGTGGGCCTGTGGACCGAAGGGTCCCAGGTTCGATTCCGGTCAAGGGCACATGCCTGGATTGCATGCTTGATTCCCAGTAGGAGGCGTGCAGGAGGCAGCCAATCAATGATTCTGGCTCATCATTGATGTTTCTCTCTCTCTCTCCCTTTCTCTCTGAAATCAATAAAAAAACTATATAATATATATTTATTAAAAGCAAAAAGTGTTGGGGTCCAACCCCAGCGGGTCCAGGGGTCCCCAAAGGTGTGGACGGAGTCGGCGAAGAAGGAATGACACGGAGACAGCCTTCAGTTGATCAGCAGCCTAGTCAGGACCTCTAGCCAGGATCTCCAGCCAAAGTTCTGGTCGGAGTTCTGGTTAGGAACTGATCAGGATCTGATGTTTATTGTCTTGTTACATCTATATTTATACCAGC